TTCTTAAAAACTACCAAAAACTAGAGGGATCCAAATAGGGTCACAAAAAACATTGGTCCAGCGACATGACATAGCACTACGAGCGATGACAGCAAAACAAAGAAGCATTGGTCAGACTAGAATTTTTGTTTATTATTTTATAAAATATATAGATACATTTCCAACAAGTGGTTGTACTCAGCTTGTCCACAAAGATAATACACCTAAAAATAATCCTCTCAGAGCTAGGATGATGGTCACCTTGGTCGCTTCGGAGGAGGTCTGTCATCATTAATCGACGTCATCATCCTTAGGCTCATCATCGTCATCGTCGTCCTCCTCCTCCTCGGTGTCGAAGCTCCTGTCAGGAATCAAATCAGGATCCATGTTCTCCCTGGAGCCTCCTCTGACGATGAGTGCTGCTGGACCTCGTCCTCGTCGAAGGACAAGTCATAGCTGGGAATCTTAAAAAAAACTAACCGCCGACATGGTTCTAGATAATCTGATGGAAGAATGGGATAAACATGGAAGATGGGTGGTTTTAGAGGGCAGCGGCCTTGAAGAATTGTAGAGCGGGCCAACGGGGGGTGTTGGTAATTGGGCATTGGGACACACTCTCATTTACTCACCTTCAAGTCACAAAAAAATTACTCACCTTCAATATTTACCGTCAGTACATCAAACGGTCGTGTAGGTGCGGTGGCCATAACACGTATCTCAGTCGGCTCGGCGTTCCAAACGACGGTGGAATTCAACCCACTACCACCGCTGCATTGATGGTTTTCAACTGCCGGTTTCATTCCTTGCAAGGCCTCCCTATCGGTCCAACCAACGGTGCAAGTATCACACGGACGCTTATATCGTTACGGCAGTGAAAGTGGCGATAGTGAAAGATCAATCTATAGTAGTGAGGGCATTCTAATCCTAGCGATATTGACCTGTGTGAGCCATGGTTCGTCTAGTTCAAACCTACACCTTAAAAAACTCAATCTACATCAGATGTACATGCAGCCCGAGGCACGACAGCCCGGCCCAAAGCACGACATTTTGGCCCGGCATGAGCACAGCATAGCCCGGTGAGTAACAGGCCCAGGCCGGCAAGGCCCGATGCATAGGGTCGTGCCTGGGCCGCTCCCTAGGCACGCCGGGCAGCACGGCTCGGCCCATTAATCAATAGGCGGCCCGGTAGAGGCCCGCTATCTGAGCCTCATATAAATAATTTCTAACCCTAATTCCCCATCCTCACTTCCTATTCCAACTTCGCAGCTGCCCCATCCCACATCGAGTATGACCCCGGCTGCTTCTAGGCGCCACACCTCTAGCCTCTCCCCTCTCTAGGTCTCCCCGCAGGCACTGAGGCACCCTCTCCCGGGTCTTCCTGCCGAGCTCCTAGGAGCCAAGGGTCGCGGGGCCTCGAGCACGGATGGCGCCATGGCGGGCGGCCTCACCGACGAGCGCGCCAACCGCGGGGAGCCAGCCACGAGCGTGACTACGGATCCCTTGTCCGCTCTGCTCCTCGTCCTTTCTCTAGAGTGAGGACGGCGACTGCGAGGGCACCGGCCACCTTCTTCCCTTCCCTCCTAGCTTCCCCTCTTGATCTGTAGATCTGCTCCTAGAATCTGTATTGGGCCTCGGGCGAGCCCGGCGTGTAATTTCCGTCGTGCTTCATGGGCCAGCCCAACACGAAAAATGGCCCACGTGTCGGGCCTGGGCCGCCAGCTAGGCACGGTGCCCGTCTCGGCACGGCCCGGTAGGCACGACGTGTCGTGCCGGCCCGACCCCCATCGGGCCATGCCTGGCACAGGCTCGTGCCAGGCCGGGCCGCCTGGGCCGTTGGACATCTATACTTGAGGCTTTGGGGCTTCTTCCCTCTTAAGCTTGTAGGTACAGTCATCCGACATGTTAAGCCAATCTCAACCGCAGTGAAATCCAAAAAATACAGTAACTAAATGAATAAAAAAGCTTTTATTTAAAGAAAAATTCCTGAACACAAGAATTCAAGATTGGTTCTCATAATTATCAGATAATTTTTATAAAAAAAAAGAATTTGTAAAACTTTAATGACCCCCTATGGCGCTTTTAAGGCATGTTGTATCGAACAATTCTCTACCTTAATACAAAGACACGCAAATCTTTTGCGTGATCGAGAAAAAACGAATTTATTAATTTTTTTCTTTTTGAATAATGCCAAATCAAATAAAAATATCCAAAAATCCAAAAGTCAAAAGAAATTAATTAATTGTTTCGATAAAAAAGAAAAGCGTGCAGCTGCATTGGGCTGTAGAAAGAATCTGCATACATCATGTCCTGTTAGGAGTAAAGATACATGGTTTAAAATGGAAATCTTTTAGGAGGGGAAGGATCGGCAAGACGACCAAGAATGACAAAGGGAATTTTCCTTTACGTGGAGTGGTTTTGAAAGACTTCTATCCTCTTCATTGGGGTGCTTTCCAATCTTCTTCAAGCGATAGACTGGATTTTTTCGTCTTTTTTTCTCATCTCATCCAACACGTTAAGCCAATCTCTCTCCCGTCTGCTAGGTAGAGGAGGAGAGAAACTGGCATGGTCTATGTAGGATTTGATCCTCATCAAACAACCAACAACCTCTAGTCATAAAAAGCAACATTTTAAAGCAGTCTGAAGTCAACAGTTTCAAACTACTTTTTGTAGAAAATTTATATTTCATAAATTATTTTCAAAACAAATCTACTTGTTGTATCACTTGAAACATTCACAATTAACATGTAAAAGCTAATCTACACTCAAGTTTGGAACCGCTGACTTCGGACAACCCTAAAACATCACTTGTTTATGATGGAAGGGTGTAAAAATCAAAGTGCCGAAATTCTGCATCACATAAAAAAACAATTTTTCATTGTAAATGAAAGCCTTTTCCCTAGCTGAAACTACTTGGATTATTATAATATACATAAGACACGCATCCTATAATCCTAGCGACGTTGGCCTTTGTGAGCTACGGTTGGTCCAGTTTAAACCTACACCTTGCAACAACAAAAAAAACTTGATCTACATCTTGAGACTTGGGGTTCGCCGTTCAACTTGTTTTCCAAGAACAAAAGGGTACCATGTTCTTTCCAGCATCTAATAATTGACCACGTGCCCATGTTTAACGTGTAGCCCTTGGTTTCCATCCTTTCTGTGCGAGTCAAACATCATGCTACAGTCACGTGATATGTAGAGACCAAAAACTGTTACCACCACAAGTCTCGCATTGCCCAGATCGAAGAGAAGCAAAAGTATGAAAGACTCCATATATATAGTTAAGGTGTAGTGCCATATCTTTCGCTAATGTCGAATCAAACGCTAAAAAGTGAAGGAGCATGTAAGCTATAATCAATACCTTTTTCAGTACTGATGGTACGGTGTGATCAACAACTCCATAATTGTTCTAAGAGTAAGTATAACAACAGTCTGTAAATGAGCTTTTATGCTGAGATGGAAGCGAAGAGCTAACGCACGAAGCTCCAAAAAAAGAAAGTTTGCCGTATTTTAATGGGGAAGTTTGTTCTAATAGCCAACTACTATATCTATTGGCCGATAGTGGGCTATAAATATATATACAGCCAGCCACTGTTTTCCTAAACGCTAAACAGTCGGTCACCTGCCGTTTAGCCATTATTCGGGCAAAATAGTCCATTAAACGGGTTAAATGGCTAATTAAACGGGTTACACGATGATTAAACGAAAACAACGTACCGATGTTTAAATGGGCTAAACAGCCGTTTAGGCGAACAGTGCAGCCAGCAGTTGGCTATGCTATTAGCCATACTCTAACGTGATGCTCTGCATGTAAGCAACAAGAGAAAAATGCTCAATGGCGACCTCACTCTATTTCGACTTTTGTCTCTAGGTCAAATGTGACAGAAGCAATTTGCAAACCTTTGTGATGGAGAATGAAGGAAAACAAAAGGTGAAGTCAGCACTCGATTCCTTTACGAATATATTCGAGATCTCTCACCGAGTCGCTCGCCATAACTTCTAAACTGCAACAAAAATCTCATCATATACACCATCACCCTGTTCGTTTGGGCTTGTTTGGCTTATAAGCCGTATTTTTTTAGCCAACGAATAATATTTTTCTCTCACACCAAATCAGTCAATAATACTTTCAGTCATGGTTTATCAGCCAAACAAGCCCAAGCGAACAGGACGCATAACTAGATTTTACTCAATTTGTGTTTGGATGGGTTCATTTATGCTTAACAAAGAGCACACACAAGATGCAAACACACATCTTTCTTCAAAATAACTAATTCTCTCCCATTTGCTGACATTACAAATAAGAAATGGAAGAAAATTTACATTTACATTACAAATAACTATATTTATTGTTAGGAAACGGGCGGCACTTCATAGGATCAAAAGAAATAGTGCCTCTCCTCAGCTCCATTCAACATTGAAACAACTTTTTATAAGAAACGACATTGATAGACAGACTTTTTTATGTTTTAATAGACTAACAAGAGAGAAACTAGAGGAAAACATCCTGCATCACAAAATAAGATGTAAAATCAAAAATATCATGTATTTTGGGACGAAAGAAGTAGATCAAAGGAGGAGCATAAAAGTGCCAAAATTGCAATCCTCCATCTTCTATAATAAAGAACATAGCATGATGCAATCCAGGCAAGCCGCAAGCAAGCCCATGTACAGCTTTGATCTGAGATTTTTTTTTTATGGCAAAGACCAAAGAGTGACCTTGTTTGTTTTAACGCAAAACCGCGGCTGTAGTCTGGCCGCCCTCCGTTCTCCTTCCTCTCGCTTTCCGGCGGGCGACTGTCGTGCGCCGCTTGTTTGTTTGCTTCCGTCGTCCCCTCCCCACGTACGCCCTGACCGCCTTTTATAAGCACCAGCCATCTGGCCTTTCTTTGACAACGCCAAACTGGCTTTTGCAGCCCCGATTCGCCACGAAACCGCAGTGTGAGAGAGGGAGGCGGCCCGTTGTCCCCGGCTTATACGCAATCCTTCCGTCGCTGCGAAGCTGATCCCTCGTGTTCGCCATGGCCCCTGCCGCCAGCGTCGCCGTGGAGAACCTCAACCCCAAGGTGAGAACGCCGCCCGTTTTCCTCCCCCTGTCTAGCTGTCTGTCCCTTGAAGGTTCCATTTTTTAGGATTTTTCGGTGGGAAGTTTGGGCTTTGACGAGACGGAAGAGGCTCTGTTTTTTTTTTTTCGCGAACGCGTCTGCGTTCTGCGTGTCCCTGATTCAGCTTAGCCGAGGGTTGGATTCTCGTTCGCTTGAGAAATTTGGCTGAAAAAATTATCTTTTATTCGCTGGAGTGGTACATGCCGTGCCTAGTTCTTGTTATGATGATCTGATTTTGATTCATACTTTGAAATCAAATGAGAATTTTTTTTTAGGATAGTTGTAACAACTGCACGGGCGCAAAGTTCCATCGTTTTCGTTTAGATGTTGGCAATAAGTGTAGTTCCTTTTACCCAGATCACTAGTCGCTATCGCTCTCTCTCAAACCAGAGGTAGATCTCAGTGCGATCCGAGCTGCTGGAGTGCCTTTTCTTTTTGTTTTGTTTTGTTGTGACCGAGTAGTTTAATGTCATCTATGTCAGTGCTCCCCTTTGACTCAAAAGGGGGTACGGCGATTTGTTTGGACTGCTGCCCCACTTCTGGTGCAAAATGATGATACGTTGATGCTGTATTGTTTCTGTGAGATCTGAGGTGAGGCTGTTTGGTTGCACGCCATATCCTGCCACGCCACAACTGATGGCGGCCACAGAAAAAATCAGCGCTGTCTGGTTTGTGACAGAACTGCGGCAGCCACAACGGTTGCAGGTCATTTTTCTGCCGCAGCTTAGGCGCCAGATTTTTACGCCGCAGCTTAGGCGGCGCCTCACCAGCGGCGGGCGCCTCACCAGCGGCGTGGCTAGCCGTGGCTGGGAGCCAAACAGGCTACCTCCTTCGTTGGCAATCTGTGCTTTGTCACTAAACCTATTGAAGTTTGTAAACCTGCTGAATGTCGTGTGATCTTGATTTCCATCTGTTTCATAGACAACAGCTTTCGTGCTTTGCTTGTCTGGGTAAGGCAAGTGTGGCTCCTCATGCCTAGCTAATACACTGATAACTATTACAGGTCTTAAAATGTGAGTATGCAGTCCGTGGGGAGATTGTCATCCATGCTCAGGTATCTTGAGTGACTACTGATGTTCAACAAGGCTTGCAGTCTAGTACTTTAGTATGTTATATATCACTCTGTTCATGTTCCCAAATAATCGGTTAATCACCTTACCACAAGGCAATACAGTTAAATCAGGCAATGTTCATATACAGAGTTTTGTTAGACTGTTGTAGTAATAGTATTGCTTTTGACCGTGCTATCTGATTTGAGTGAATTACCAAAGAACAGCATAGTGGACCTAAGCATATAGTTTACTTGATCGCTAATAACCATATTACTATAGTAATTTAATTTGCAATTCTTCCCTGATGAAATTCATCCTAATTATTAAAGGTTAATCTTGTTCACCATATTTTATATGGCTCCCTGTGAATGCTTTTTAGAATCTTGTGCACTCCGTGCAGACCAGCAGGTCTGCCAATAAGAACCTGCTTCGAAATTGATTTAATATATATAACCCCACTGTTTTCTCTGTTAACAGCGCTTGCAGCAACAACTACAAACACAACCAGGGTCTCTTCCTTTTGATCAGGTACCTAACTGTTGATTTAGAAGTGCCTTTATTTTCCCTTTTTTCGAAAATTATATAGCTCATTCCAATTATATTTTTACCCTTGCAGATCCTCTTCTGCAACATTGGGAATCCTCAATCTCTTGGTCAGCAACCTGTGACATTCTTCAGGGAGGTATGCATTTATTTTACCTGCAGATTCGACCTTTGTTTCTTCGATATTTACATGGTACCTTGCAGGTTCTTGCTCTTTGTGATCATCCATGCCTCTTGGAAAAAGAGGAAACCAAATCATTGTTCAGGTGAATATCATCATCGTTCTATTCATTCATCATTCAATTTACAGAAGTCTTAAATGGAGATGTAGTGCAAACACTTGACTAAGTGATATCCTGCTATTTTTCCCAACTTTAGTGTCAAATCAACCTAAAAATTCTAAAAGTATTACAGAGATAGAGCATTCTATCTTCCTCCAAAAACAAAGCTGTGGCAACAGAATTATGTGTAATTTTCTTTGAAAATAGTAAACATTTATATAAATAGTAAAATTTCCTGTGAAGTCTGTCAGGTATTTAACTTTTTCCCCTTCAACTTTGACAGTAACTATGATGGATAAGTCTCTGTGTTGGCTGGTATTTGTGGGGCTGCAGCATATGGTCCTTGTGGCAGCATGGTAGTCTTGCTGCCCATCAAGGACAGCATTCTTGATTGGCTAGGACAGCATCTTAGCATTTAGGACTAGCATCTAGGACAGCATCTAGGACTAGCATCTTGGCATATGCTTGGCTGGCTAGCAGCCTATAAATATGTATCCCTATCCCCTCAGGTAGGCATGTCATTGTATGAGAAATAAACCAGAAAATTGCCCCAACTTCTAGTGTTATCCTCTCTCGATGAGAGTAAGAATTCTGCTACTACCAAGAGTAAGAATTCAGCGACTAACAAGTGGTATCAGAGCCGTACTATCCTGTAGCCTGAGCATCTCCTGCTCATCTCCTTTCCCAGCCTCACAACAGCCCCAGCTGGGAGCAGCAGCAGCTCCGACCGCTCCTGCTCACTCCTCTCCCTCTGCGCAGAGCTCGTCTGAAGCAGCCCTCTCCCCACGCAGCAGCCCCCCAGTAGCGCGTCATGTCCGCAGGACAGTCTCAGCGCTCGGTCGCCTCGAGCACACGGCGTCGGCAGGAGGCCGAACTTGCCGCAGCAGAGGAACGCGAGCGAGCGGCGGCGGCAAGGGCGTCGAGGCTGGCAGCAGCAGAGCTAGCAGCAGCCAGAGCAGAGGCGGCGGCAGATGCAGCGCGTGCGGTGGCAGCCGAGGTCGAGGCTCTGCGTGGCAGCATCAGCATCTCCGTTTCTGCTGACGACAGCGCCGACGCGGACTAAGAGCTGCTGGGGAGGGAGGCAGCGCGAGCGCGGGCGGCACAGTGGGCAGCCGCGCACGCCCACGAGCGCGGCAGCAGCCCAGACAGGCGCGGATGCGCCGGCGGCGCTCCTGGAGGAGGCGTGCACGGCAACGGTGGCGGACGGGTCGATGGAGAGCGCGGCCTTCACAGGCAGTGTGGCTCTCCCTCCCCGGATCGGTACCGTGGTTACCACGGGCTCCAGACTGTTGTCAGGGACGTCGGCCCCGGCGGTGGGTGGCCTACCCTCACTAAGACCAACTACGTCGAGTGGGCTGCGGTGATGAGGGTAAAGCTCCAGGTGCGGCACATGTGGGAGGCAGTCCGGTACGGCGACGTCGACTACGACCAGGATCGACGGGCGCTGGATGCCCTCATCGCTGCAGTCCCGTCCGAGATGCAGTTCTCGCTTACCAACAAGCGGACTGCCAAGGAGGCTTGGGACGCCATCGCTGCGGCACGCATCGGTAGCGACCGCGCTCGCAAGTCCACACTGCAGGCACTTCGCAAGGAGTGGGAGAACCTGGCCTTCAAGCCAGGTGAGGACATTGATGACTTTGCCCTCCGTCTCAACACTCTGTTGCAGAAGATGGTGCAGTTCGGCGATGACACCTACGGCGAGGAGAGAGCTGTCGAAAAGCTCTTCCGCTGCGTCCCCGAGAAGTACAAGCAGATGGCTCGCTCGATCGAGTCCCTGCTGGATCTCTCCACGATGTCGATCGAGGAGGCGATAGGTCGCCTCAAGGTCGTCGACAGCGATGAGCCACAGTCTCTCTCGGGGCCCATCACCACTGGCGGGAAGCTCCTTCTCACTCGGGAGCAGTGGGCTGCCTGCCAAGGTGACTGGAAGAAGGGGGAACCTTCTTCCGCGACAGGCGGCCGCAAGCGTGGCAAGCCACGCAAGGCGCGCAGAGACGCCCAGGCCAGGGCGCGAGGACGTGCTAAGGGTGATGCCCGTAGAGGCGCCCAGGGCGCCGCCGCCGGCAAGCACAAGCCGTCACGAGATGACACCTGCCGCAACTGCGGCCAGCTTGGTCATTGGGCCAAGGACTGTCGACAGCCACGACGCGGCCAGGCCCACGTCGCACAGGCGGAGGAGCCAGCTCTGTTCATGGCACATGCAAGCATCGGCACTAGCCGCAGCGGCTCTCCTCCACCTTGACGAGCCAAAAGCACACGCCCTCCTCGGCGACGGCTCCGGCAACGACAAGACTGACAGGTGGTGCCTCGACACCGGCGCCACCCATCACATGACCGGTCGACGGGAGTTCTTCACCGAGCTTGACCCTAGCGTCTGAGGCTCCGTCAAGTTTGGGGATGCCTCCGGCGTGGAGATCAAGGGCGTCAGCTCCGTCATCTTCACCGCCGTGTCTGGTGAGCACAGGCTGCTCACCGGAGTCTACTACATCCCCGCATTGAGGAACTCTATCATCAGCTTGGGACAGCTGGATGAGAACGGTTCGCGCGTGCTGGTTGAGGATGGAGTCATGAGAATTTAGGATCGCCGTCGTCGCCTTCTTGCCAAGGTAACCAGAAGCGCAAATCGACTCTACGTCCTTAATGTGCAGATGGCACAACCCCTCTGTCTTGCTGCTCGTCGGGATGACGAGGCGTGGCAGTGGCACAAGCGCTTCGGGCACCTTCACTTCGAGGCCCTGAAGCGGCTCAGTGCCACGGAGATGGTGCGAGGCCTGCCGTGCCTCGACCATGTGGAGCAGCTCTACGACGTCTGCGTGTTGACAAAGCAGAGGCGACTTTCCTTTCCCCAGCGGGCGAGCTTTCGAACCAAGGAGAGGCTCGAGCTTGTGCACGGGAACTTGTGTGGCCCGGTGACACCGGCCACACCGGGAGGACGACGCTACTTCGTGCTGCTCGTCGACGACCTCTCCCGCTACATGTGGGTGATGGTTCTCGGCAGCAAGGGAGAGGCTGCGGACGCCATCAGGCGCGCGCAGGCTGCTGCGGAGGCGGAGTGCAGCCGCAAGCTGCGCGTCCTGCGCACCGACAATGGCGGCGAATTCACGGCAGCTGAATTCGCGCCGTACTGCATTGATAAGGGCATTCAGCGCCACTACTCCGCGCCGTACAGCCCGCAGCAGAACGGCGTCGTCGAGCGGCGCAACCAGACGGTTGTGGGGATGGCTCGGGCCCTTCTCAAGCGAGGGGATGCCGGGCTGTCTTCGGGAGAGGCGGTGGTGTCGGCCGTCTACATCCTCAACCGCCGTCTACCAAGAGCTCGACGGCAGGACCGCCGTCTGACGAGGCTTGGCATGGGCGCAAGCCGGCGGTCTCCCCACTTGCGGGTCTTCGGCGCCTCGCGTTCTCCAAGGAGCTTGGCCACATCATCAAGCTCGACGACGAGCACTCCGGGAGTGTTCATCGGCTACGCGAGGGCTCGAGGCCTACCGCATCCCTCGACCAAGACACATCGTAGCGCGCGCGCGCGCGGCGTTGTGTTCAACGGCGGGCGAGGATGGGCGTGGGACAAGGCGGTGGACGACGGCTCGCTCCGACGTCACGACGACTTCACCGCCGAGTACGCCCACTTCGAGGGAGCTGGGGAGTAGGCGCTCTTCTTCGACGAGCGCGTGTCACCCCAGTCCCGAGCCTTCATCGACCCGCGCCGCTACTCCGACAAAGACCACGCTCTCCAGCCAGACCTCGGCTGCGATGAGTTCTTCGCCAGCCCACCACTGCCGGCACCGCCACGCACTCCAAAGACCGACAGCGCCTCTTCGGTCACGTCTACCCCACCACCAGCTCGTGTCGAGCACGGCCCGGTTGAGCTCGCTATCCGCTTTCTCGACGACGAGGAGCGATCGACGCGTACCACGACGGCGAGCCGTTCTGGGTACCGTCTGCCGAGAACCTTCTCGGCGACCAGCCGGGACCGGTGCCTCACGACCTCGAGGCCCAGCTTGCACCTTGCGTGTGACGACGGCGAGCCTCGGTCGTTTGCAGAGGCCGAGAGACACGCGCATGGCATGGCGCGCCGCGATGCAGTTGAGATGGATGCGGTTGAGAACAACCGCACTGGGAGCTTGCTTGACCTTCCTCGTGGTCACCGCGCCGATCACCCTTAAGTGGGTGTACAAGTGAAGAGGGATGAAGCCGGCACCATTGTCAAGCACAAGGCTTGCTTGGTGGCACGAGGTTTCGTGTAGCAGGAGGGGGTCGACTTCGACAACGCCTTCGCTCCCGTGGCACGGATGGAGTCTGTGCGACTCTCCTTGCGCTTAGCTGTCCAGGAGGGCTGGCGTGTTCATCACATGGACGTCAAGTCGGCGTTCCTTAACGGCAACTTGAAGGAGGTCTACGTAGCACCAGCCGCCGGGATTTGCGATCCCCGCAAGGAGGGCAGGTGCTCCGCTGCGCAAAGGCCCTCTATGGCTTGGCGGCAGGCGAGGGCGTGGAATGCCAAGTTGGATTCCACGCTAAAGGGATAGGCTTCGAGCAAAGCCCGCACGAGGCGGCCATCTACCGACGGGGCAGTGGAGGAAATGCTCATTGGGTGGGTGTCTCGTCGACGACTTGGTGATCACCGGCACCAAGGATGCGGAGGTAGCGGCATTCAAGGAAGAGAAGAAGGCCACCTTTCAGATGAGTGACCGGGGCCTCTCTCCTACCGGGAATCGAGGTGCACCAGATGACTCCGGATCACGCTTGACGCACCACCTCGCCAAGCACGTCGTTGAGCTAGCTGGGCTCACCGACTGCAACACAGCTCTCACTCCGATGGAGGAGAGGCTGAAGCTGAGCCGCGACAGCGACGACGGAGGAGGTGGACGCTACGCAGTACCGGCGTCTTGTGGGGAGCCTTCACTACCTCGCCCACACACGGCCGGACTTGGCATTCTCCGTCGGCTCGTTAGTCGGTTCATGCAATGACCGACGACGGAGCACCAAAGAGTCGTGAAGAGGATCATCCGCTACGTTATGGGACTCTCGACCACGGCCTCTACTACCTTAGGTGCCTGGGCGCAGCGACTTCGCTTCTGTACAAGGATGGCGACCACGCCGGGCGACATCGACACCAAAGAAGAGCACGAGCGGGATCCTCTTCCTCCTCGGCAAGTGCCTCGTTAGGCGGCGGTCGGTCAAGCAGCAGTGATGGCCTCTGCCCAACAAGCGAGGCCGAATACATAGCGGCCTCCACCGCTTGACTCAGAGCGCCTGCTCCTGCTCGCTTCGCTGGTGTGATCTCCTCGGCAGAGACACTAGAGCGGTGGAGCTCAGGATGGACATCTAGTCCGCTCTGGCCCTGGCAAAGAACCCCGTTTTCCATGAACAGAGTAAGCACATCCAGGTGAGGTACCACGTTATCCGAGGCTGTTTGGAGGAAGGGAGCATCAAGGCAAGCTACATCAACACCAAGGACCAGCTTGCGGACCTGCTTACCAAGCCTCTTGGGAGGATCAAGTTCCTTGAGCTCTGCTCTAGGACCGGGATGGTTCAACTTTCCCACAAGACGACGGACAAGACTTAGGGGGAGAATGATGGATAAGTCTCTGTGTTGGCTGGTCTTTGTGGGGCTGCAGCATATAGTCCTTGTGGCAGCATGGTGGTCTTGCTGTCCATCAAGAACAGCATCTTTGACTGGCTAGGATAGCATCTAGGACAGCATCTAGGACAACATGTAGGACTAGCATCTAGGACAGCATCTAGGACTAGCATCTTGGCATATGCTTGGCTGGCTAGCAGCCTATAAATATGTATCCCCAACCCTTCAAGTTGGCATGGCATTGTGTGAGAAATAAACCAGAAAATTGCCCCAACTCCTAGTGTCATCCTCTCTCGATGAGAGTAAGTATTCTGCTACTACCAAGAGTAAGAATTCAGCGACTAACAAACTAAATATACCTAGGAAGATAGTTTTAGAGCTCTTATGTTTAATTGAGCTGTTCATCAGAAGAACCATTACATCATTGCCTAATTATGCATGCCCTTTCAATATATTTTTTTTCTAAATTTCCCTTGATACCATTTCCAGTTGAAAGATGATTTTTTTCTATTTGTTATCTGTCTTGTTTGCACTGTTTAATATTTTTGTTAGCCAGAAACTTCCAAAAGTAGTTCAGTGTCCCATTTATACATAAATTCTTATGTGTACTTGATGGCTCTTCTCACTGCAGTGCTGATGCTATTTCTCGAGCAAAGCAGATTCTTGCAACTATTCCTGGAAGGGCAACAGGTGCATATAGTCACAGTCAGGTGAGCATCTCACCCTGATATATTTATTGACCACAACGAGAAAGGAATCTTGGCTTCATTTGATTTGTTTATTTTTCCTAGGGTGTCAAAGGACTGCGTGATGCAATTGCTGCTGGGATCACCTCACGTGATGGATTCCCTGCAAATGCAGATGACATTTTCATTACAGACGGAGCAAGTCCTGGGGTGTGCATTTTTAACTTATCTTTCAATTGTCCTGGACATTTTCTGAATAAACATGATATCACTGAAGTCTCATCATGACCCTATTCTTCCTTCTTAAGGTCCACATGATGATGCAATTACTGATTAGGAATGAGAAAGATGGCATTCTGTGCCCAATTCCTCAGTACCCCTTGTACTCGGCCTCCATAGCTCTTCATGGTGGAGCCCTTGTATGTACTTTCATTTGCTCAGCAGAAGAATATGGTCTATAGTGCTATATATTGTATCACCGACACCTAAATCGAGCACATGTTCTTTCAGGTCCCCTATTACCTTGATGAAAAAACTGGGTGGGGTTTGGAGATCTCTGATCTTAAGAAGCAACTTGAAGATGCTCGGTCAAAAGGCATTGATGTTAGGGCCTTGGTGGTTATCAATCCAGGAAATCCGACTGGGCAGGTTTGTACCAATCTCTCCTCTCGTTAAAGAACATTTCTGCTTGCTTAGATTTTCTATTTCCTATGCACACCATATACTCTTTATAATTGATGTAATGACATAACATGAGGTGTGTATTTCTTGTACTCCTGCTTTAAGTTAGTGAATACTTTGTATACTTGTATTGTCTAGGGAAAAGTTTTGCTTAGAAAAAATAAGTGTTTTTTGTCGGTCTGCAATGTAAATGAATGTTTTTTCAATGCTGGTGACCAAAACACAATTTTTATTGAAGTGGTTCATTTATTTGTAGGTTCTTGCTGAAGACAACCAATATGACATAGTGAAATTCTGCAAAAATGAGGGCCTTGTTCTTCTAGCTGATGAGGTGAATGATAGGCTGGTAGCTGATGTTAGACGTCAGAACAACAACAAAATTGCCACAGCTGTAACACTAATGCCATTTTTATTGGTAGGTATATCAAGAAAACATCTATGTTGACAACAAGAAATTTAACTCTTTCAAGAAGATTGCAAGATCCATGGGATACGGCGAGGATGATCTCCCTCTAGTATCATTTCAGTCTGTTTCCAAAGGTAGATTGATATAACCAGCTACTTTATCTGCTGTTTGGTCAAGTCACTGGCTTAACCAAAAGATTTTGCTGCTGCAACCAGGATACTATGGAGAGTGTGGTAAAAGAGGAGGTTACATGGAGATTACTGGCTTCAGTGCTCCGGTAAGAGAGCAGATCTACAAGGTAGCTTCAGTGAACTTGTGCTCCAATATCACTGGTCAAATCCTTGCGAGCCTCGTCATGAATCCACCAAAGGTCTGCTATATGGCATTCTTTAAATTATGCGCTGATTGGAATTAGGAAATACCAAATTGTACAGTTAAAAATCATTGCTTTATTCTTCAGGTTGGGGACGAATCATATGCTTCCTACAAGGCAGAGAAAGATGCAATCCTTCAGTCTTTAGCTCGTCGTGCAAAGGTTCGCCTGGTTGCATTTCTACTATAGTTTTGAGTAATAACTTCTTAAAAATATTCAAGATTTTTTTGTTTGTTCTACAGGCATTGGAGGATGCGTTCAACAAGCTTGAGGGAATTTCATGTAACAAGGCTGAAGGAGCAATGTACCTTTTCCCTCAGATTCATCTGCCACAGAAAGCAATTGAGGCTGCTAAAGCTGCTAAGAAAGCACCTGATGCATTCTATGTTCTCCGTCTCCTTGAATCAACTGGAATTGTCGTGGTCCCTGGATCTGGATTTGGTCAAGTGAGTCAACTCAACCATTACATATTGTAATATACTTGTGTTCCTGTAGCTGCTGATGTATAGGTTGAAACATATGGAAGAAGTAACGGGAGTTTGTATTTTGTCCAATATTACCTTGCTGGATTATATGTTGATAGGTTTTCCTGGGACATCTAGTCAGATTGTTAACTCTTAGGTCTAGTACAGGTTGCCTTTATATTGTTAATTTTCTGTGCAACTAATTTATGCTAGCATTTGTAGTTTTGAGTTTTAGGGTAGGGTGAACTTTATTAGAACTATACATGCTAAAGCTACTTCTAAGAGCATAGGATAGTGGGTTCATGGAGATGCATTTTTCATATAAACCAGTCATAACTGTCTCCTTGTATTTCATTCCATGTTAACCGTCCTAATGATGGTCTGTTCCTTTGTTGTACTGCACAGGTTCCTGGAACATGGCACATCAGATGCACGATCCTGCCGCAGGAAGACAAAATCCCAGCGGTGATCACCCGCTTCAAGGTTTTCCATGAGGCGTTCATGGCTGAGTACCGTGACTAAACTGTTACAGTGTGAATTAAGATGGAGGTTCAGTAGAAGAGTCCATCTTTTTTCCTCTCTTTGTTCCCCTTTGTACTTCTTTTACTGTGTTTTAATACATTTTCTAGTAGGGGCTGAAAACCCCTCATGTTTCCTAAAAAAAGGTAAAAGAATTCAATGACAGCTCAAAAAGGGCCTGTGTTAGAAATCTTATTTCCTCCACAGGAGCAACAATTGTCTGTCTTCAAGAAACAAAAATTTCGAACTGGACAAGACAACTTCTCATTGACACTGTTAGGCTTGACACGGTAGAAAATTGTGTGCACCTGCCTGCCACGGGAGTGGCTGGTGGAATCCTACTAGCGGCGTCTGAATGATACTTCAATCTAAGCATGACCAGGATGACGCTATCAACCATCTCTGTGGATATTACACTGCTAGCTGGAAATACCACTTGGTCCCTTTCAGGTGTTTATGGACCTCAATTGGATGCGGATAAAGTTGCCTTCCTTCAGGAACTGCTGGACTTAAAAGCAATGGCCCCGTTCGCTTCGCTGAAAAAATAAGCTGAAACATTGTTCCAGCTGATTTATTGTGAGAGAAAAACACGGTTCCGGCTGAAAAGACAAGCCAAAAAGTACGGATTATAAAAACAAGCGAACATGGCCAATATATGAGACCTGAATAGCTCCTCATAGGAGACTTCAATCTCAATTGCCGAGCAGAAGACAAAAATAATAACCACTTAAATTTAACGATGATCAATCGTTTCAAGCGCGTAATAGATGACCTTCAACTAGCTGAGATAGAGCTAAAAAAAACTAGCTGAGATTGCACTCCATGGAAGGGAATTTACCTGGTGCAATGATCAACGATCACCAACTATGACTAGGATAGACCATTTGTTTGCCTCCACTGATTGCCTTGAGCTGTTTCCCAAAGCAAATCTACAAGCTCTCGCCTCTCTCTCGACTCTGGACCATTGCACGCTATTTCTCCAAGGAGACGCTTCTTTCGATTTCTACCACGGCTTCCGCATTCAAAGTCACGGTGGACCCAATAACCAGATTTCCTCTCGACAGTTCAATCGCCATGGCAACAGCAAGTCAACACTCAGGACGCCATCCTGGTTCACGTAAAATTGCTAGAACTGCAAAAGCGAAGAGATTGGCGCCCGAATGTCCGAACACCTGCGCCTCCTGCCCGCCTCCCTGTTCGTTTCGCTGAAATTTGACTTATACTGATGCCTATGCTGATTTGTTGTGAGAGGATAATATTGTTCGTTCGATGAAAAATACTGCTGAAGTAGTGCTGATACCCTCAGGGCGTCTATGGATGCAGTTTCGTGCTCCACGCCTGTTGCCTATCCATGGATGCAGCTTCGTGCTCCGTTTCGCCTCATACTCTGCGCTGCTGCCCGCCCATGGATGCAGCTTCGTGCTCCGCGCCTGCTGCCACGCCCATGGATACAACTTCATGCTCCGCATCTGCTGCTGCGTCCGCTTCGCTTCCCGTACACACGCGGGGACCGATGCGCCCGAGGGCTCACCTTCACTTGTGCCCCCTTACCGTGCCTGCTCATGAAACACCTGCAACATAAAGACCTACGTCCGAAACAGATGAAACATTTACAACATACGCTTGCAACATAGGTGTATGGGCACTACAACATATGCAACATCCAGATAAAACACTTGTAATATACGTTTGAAACAGTTAAAATATTTGAAACATACATCTGCAACATACGTATATAGCTAGTGCAACATATGCAACATCCAGATAAAACACTTGCAACATACGTTTGAAACAGCTAAAACATTGAAACATACACTTTGCAACATGCGTGTATAGTTATTGCAATATATGCAACACCAGATCTATTTTTGCAACATCCAGATAAAACATATGCAACATACATCTAAAACGCATGAGACATACGGTTGCAACATATGCACATCTACTTGCTGCCACCAATGGACGCTCGTTGACGTGGAGTTTGACGCCGGCACGGAGCTTGATGCCACGGCGCGGAGCTCAGACCTCGGCTGTGCGTAGCGCGAGTCCGGGCGGGAGGCGCGAGGTGTAGCAGAGCGCAGCGCGAGGCGCGAGACATAAGCAGCGTGTGACGCGAGGCACGGGTGACATGAGGCAAGAGCAGCGTGAGGCACAAGGCACGGGCAGGTACGAACGGATGCTCGGTAGAGAGCATTACCGACCTGAAAAGGCACATGAAATTAGAAATCTGACAGGCAGACTAGTTTGACTTAAAAAATACCTTAAATTAAAATCATTGGGCATTGCAGCTATCGGAAAGCTTAAAGCTCATCAATGCTCACGACTCACATGGATCAAACTAGGAGACACGAATAGTTGTTTCCCAGTTGCATGTAAACGCTCGAAGGTATAAGAACTATGTCCTAACGGTCCTTGGCTTCAGCTAGCAATGGAGACTTGATCTCCTCCATCCTTGCTACTTCATCCTCCAGAATTCTTATAAACGGTCAGCCTGGAAGAAGCATTTCTCATGCAAGACGCCTCAGGCAAGACGATCATTTATCTCCAATGCTATTTATTCTAGCCATTGACCCGTTACAACTAATGCTAGTGCTGCCTAAAACGGCAAACTTGAGGTGCTCCCTTTATGCGGTTGATGCAGCCATTTTAGCCGATGCCTCAAGTTCGGAGCTTAAACACCTCCAGAAAATCATACACATCTTTGGGGACTGCCCAGGCTTAAGAATCAACATGTCCAAAACGGAAATTTACACAATTTGTCTCAATACCGACACTGTTCAGAGTCTGATCCGAAATTTCCCGGGTAAAATTTGCTCCTTCCCTGTAAAGTACCTGGGATTGCCTCTTCATTCAAGAAAACTTCGCAAGGTGGATGTGCAACCACTGATTAACAAAATTGGAAACCATCTTCCGGATTGGAAGGGGAAAATGCTATCGCTCCCTAGACGAGAAACCTTAGTAAAAACGGTGCTATCCTCACAACCAATTTGCCACCTAAGTCTTCCCAGTACAAAAGTGGTTGCTAAAAAGAATTGATCGCATTCGACACAATTTTGCTCGAGCATTATGCCGCTTGCTTTGGTTCAAATGGAAGCAGAGAGAAAGAGCTTGGGCTAAGATGGAGGTACCAAGCGATAAAGTGGATCTGAATCTATTTAATGCATTTTGGTTGGTAATGGTAAAACAACTCTTTTTTGACCTCTATAGCTGGATCGACAATACCTCGGCAAAGTGTATTGCACTGATGCTGTTCGTGAAATCCAAAAGAAAAAAATCATAGTTGACAAAGCTCTGGATCAAAACAAATGAGTGGATCATGTCACCCTACTACATACTCATGTTGGGCAGTGCCGGCCCTAGGGGTAGGGCATGAGGTGTGACGGCTGAAGGCCCAAGCGGAGGAGGGACCCAAACCCAGGTATACAAACCCCCAGGTCCTAATAGTCCATTAGGCATTAGCAAACTAATGAGAAGAGAGACGTAGATCTGGCTATGCGGCCCAAAAAGACAACATCGGCATTTCTTTCCTAATTTCCTTTCCCTACGGCCCTCGGGTAGGGAGGAGGCGAGGAGTCACGCTGCACACAGCACACTCTGATCGTGAGTTCGCGACGTGCGTCTTACACACACGGAGCTGGCGAGCCGCGCCACCGCGAAGAGCTAGACTACCGGAGACACGGACATTGGCGCACGAGGACGATGACCAGGCATGGCTCCACAACAACGACATCTTGATTCTTGGCTTTTTATGAATTACGATCACCGATCAGTTGTTTAGGCCCAAGATATATTTTTTCTTTTTATTTTTAATCTAAAGTAATTATTTGTATAGTATTCCAGACTTCTAGTACTTTGTACCCATATAGTCATATTTTTCTTCTAATTTAGGTGTTAGAATTTTAGAATGTTACCTAAGAAACATTTGTCATGGGTGAGAAAAGAAAATAAATATATTGCTTTTTTAATCTATATTGTTCCTCGATAATTATCATACATCTATAAATATATTGCTTAATCTATATTGTTCCTCGATAATTATCAGACATGTTAAATTAAAAATATGTTATTGAATTTGCTTTCCTTTTGCAAGTAAAATTAGCGCATATATATTATAAGATTTTATACATGATCAAGAGGGCCGTTGCAACGAGATTGGCAGAGGGCCCTTAAATTTCTAGACCGGCACTGATGTTGGGATTAGGGAATTTGCCAATCTCTAGGAGGTGCTACAGGGAACTACATAGAGAGGACGAAATATATTGGAAATGGACATCTAGCGGTGAATATACCACTAAAAAGTGTTCAAAAAAAATATACCACTAAAAGTGCTTATCAAATACAATTTGACGAAAGCTTTGCCAAGATCAAAATCTTCCCAATTTGGAAGGCTAGAGCTGAATGGAAATGTCGGTTCTTTGTGTGGACACTTCTTCACCCTGAGATTCTTACGTCAAATAACCTAAGCAAGCGAAACTGGCTACATGACCCAATTTGCAAAGTATGCAAGTTTAATCCGGAAACACTATCGCATCTGTGCAAAGACTATCAGCCTGTTCGGGAGGCCGTATCGTATCGTGGATTATTTACTGCTGGCTGGTTTGGTGTGAGAGAAAAACACCGTTCCCGGCTGGAAATTTACGATCGTTTACGAGCAAACGAACAGGCTGTATATCTTTATCAAAGAGGTGTGGTCCATAGTCAGAAATTGGTTCAACTTATCATAGCTGCAAAACATCTCCCAAAAGTCTCTATTTACAAATACTAGAAAAAAAATACAGAGAGAAATTTGATAAGGCTCATAAGGCCTCTTTTGACGGAATCTAATCTATGTGCGGTGGAATATCTGGAAGGAGCGAAAACGAAGAACTTTCCAACAACAAGAGCTACAACCCCTATAAGTCACACAGCTAATTAAAGATGATATTCAGCAGTTCAATATGGCAACGTAGCAAACCATCGCCCCACCTTGAGCCACCTCTAGTGTTCCTTACTATCAGTGTTAGGATTTTTTTTCCGGTTTCTAGGCCACCTAGTCGGACCTTCAATGTTTTCGCTTTTTATCAGTTCAGTCTCTTCTCTCCGTTTCAGTTTGTTTTGTTTTAGTTGCTTTCCTCATAGTTGAGTCGATGGGTGGCTTTGTAATTATCGATTTGTCTCTATTTTCTCTTTCATTCGTCTAAAAAAAATTTACGGTAAAGCTATTGCAGTACTTGAAAAAAAAAATAGAAGAGCCCTCCCTCTATCCCCCCTAGAAGCACCATCCTGTAGACCGAAACAAAATAAAGCAGGCCACATCATCTGTGTGTGCGTGAGCTGATCTCTGAATGGAGGAACATTGTACTCTGTTGGCGCCTTTGATGGCAATTGAGGAAAATTTGATCGAATTTCCGTTGTTTACCGTTGTGCGAGATGCTGGATTTCTCTTAGTGCAGTGGAAAATATTGTTTCCATGTATTGAGGATGCTGGCAGGATTGCAAGAGCTAAACAAAATATTGTTCGGGTCTGCGTGTTGCTGAAGCCGATACTATAATAGTGCTAAATTTTCAGTGTCTCTTTTGTGGGTATAATTAGAGACTGTTTGTAATGCGAGAGGAATTGTGGCACAGTTTGGTGGGTAGTAATTCTTCCTACGCTTTAAACAGGCACCGTTGCCTTGGATTCTGGTTCTGGGGAGATAGATCCCAATTCCTCCTACAGAGAATGCGGTGCTCCATCTCCATTGTGCTCAGTCAGAGTCCAGAAGAATAGGAATCCACAACAACAATGGAGGTAGTGGTAAACATGGTGAGGGCCACACCATCCTTCAGTCTGTTCGGCTGGGCCGGCTTGTTCGTTGCTGGTTCGTGAAGAAATTCTGCTGATTGGTTTGTATGAAAGAAAAATAATGTTCTGTCTGAAAGACACTGTTTATGTGAACAGTGCCCACGTGAGGGGGCTAGCCAGCACCAGCCAGCCAGCCATCCCAGCCGAACGGGCTGCTTGTGCCGATGCAAAGGTGGCTGTAGGGCTAGACATCGAGCCAGCTCGGGTCGGCTCGGTCCAGCTCGAGCTGGCTCATTAGGCTCGTTAATATTACGAGCTAGAGGGACAGCTCAGCTCGGCTCGTTAACGAGCTTGAGCTGACTCATTTAGCTCGTGAGAAAAAAAATAGGACACACATGTTTATAATGTTTATGTCACAATAATTTCAGAAGATGACATACACCATTATGCAACTATATATGATTAATACATATCAGCCTCATCAAAAGTATCAACCATGCAACATAGCTGGTCCATTCATAATCCATGCAGTTCAAGCATACTTACTAGTTGCTTACCACCACAGACTTAAAAAAATCCACAAATTTAATATCAATATCATTATCTTCTCCCTTAAAAACAATTCATAAATCAACGTTTAAGTACCACAACAATTATAAAATTAAATTTCATATAAAACAGCTGAAGATAAGGATTACATATCAATAGAATAGGTGTACACTTCTAGGTCAGCATCGTCATCTTCTGAATTCTTGGTCGTGGGCTGATAGGCCTCAGCTCGTTTGAGCTCGTGAGCAGTTCGCGAGCTGGCTCGTTAAAACAGCGAGCTAGACTTTCAGCTCAGCTCGTGAAAAAATTAAAACGAGCCGAGCCGAACTAACCGAACACGAGTCGAGCGAGTTAGCGAACCGCGAGTATTTTGTATTTGCATTTGCACGAGCGCCAATTATTTGTACGCTTCCCACCAACCGCACTGGCTGGCTGAGCTAAAGTGCTCAACTGAACTGACTGCGCCGTCCTCGTGTCGTCTGTCGAGTGGCAAGTGGCATTACCTCTGCATTGTCTGTCCTCGTGTTCCCAAACCTCGCCGGCTCAACTCGGCCACCCCCTAAACCCGTACCACTGCTTCGACTTCGACTTCGACTTCGACTGCGGCGGCGGGCGGCGGCGGCGGCCTAGAAAGAACCAAAGAAGCTAGGATGCCTCCTTGCGCTCTCACCGTCGACTCCCTAAACCCAAAGGTCTGCCTGCCTGCCACCTCTATTTTGGCCCCCAAATATAATGCCGGTCGGTCTGATGACCACGTTCGAGTCCCCCTTAATGTTATGCAGGTGCTGGCGCTCGCGGATCACCTCGGCGACGACGCCATTGCCCGCCGTGCGCAGGTACGCCATTGATCCAGAGATGCAGGTGTAGCCCGGCCCGGGTTTGGTTTCGTTTTGTTTTCTACTCCTACTACCTATCGATCCAGCATCCAGGTGTGCATGTCACTGTAGATTCCATCGTCACCATGTCATGGTCTCTTGCTGTAAAAGATCACCAGCCTTGCATTGCCTCACCTGATTCCTGAGTTAAAACCATGTGGGTGTGGCCACACAAATTACTTGACACCGTCCTTTTTCTTGATTTACAGTGCATCCAAAATGAGATAGAAACAAAACCGGGGTCACACCCTTTCGACGAGGTATGTTATTTATGATGATAATAATCTCATTCGTCCGCTACATTTGTCATTTGGGATTCCATTCTCTGCTCAAAAAAAAAAGTTTGGGATTCCATTCACATCTACTGCCTTCTAACCTCACCATTTTTTCCCAAGACTGAACTTTTCCATGTCTTCTGCTAGATAATCTATTGCAGCCTCAGCAATCCACAATCCATGGGACAGCAGCCAAACAAGTTCTTCCGAGAGGTGCCTGATTATTGTTATTGTTCTCCATAATTGTACTACTTGTTATATACATTATTTCTCATCTCTTCATCACACCCTCTTATAAAGATTTCCTTTTTTCCTTTTCCAGGTTCTTGCCTTGTGCGACTATCCCCATCTTCTAGAACAGAGTGAAACTAATTCCTTATTCAGGTAAAACATGAACACAACTAATAAGCATATGGTGCACCAGAAGTTGTATGGGATTCCTTGCTAATTCCTTCCTGATGTTGCAGCTCTGATGCAATAGCAAGGGCATGGGAGCAAAACATATTGTTACGACCAGCATCCCCTATGCCAGGTGCAGGCCCAATATTGGCTAGGGGGCCGGTTTGTTAAGGGGCTTAGAGGTACAATTTATCGCTTATTTAGTATTTTCTTAAAGATAGATATAATTCCTTAATTATAGCATCTATAGGGAAGGATAAATACTTGTAATCGGGGATGATTGGAATTAAGCAAAAAGCAACAATCAAGTTGTTGGCTTCCCTTAGGAGCCAGCCGTCCCTGCCCTCTCTTCCTCGAGTGAACAGTACCCTCTTTACTGTAGCGCTACGTGAACTCTAGGGCTGCAGCCGCAGTCGCCGCTCTCGCCGCCACGGCCCCTCGCCGACGTCGAGAGTACAGACCACGTCCTCCCCTCTTCCACCTCTATAACCTGCGCAGCAACGCCGCTAGGGCATCAAGTCCTATCAATCTGGTATCAGAGATCTCTGGTTCGATCATGTCCAGCCCTCTACCGAGTTCTTCCCACCCGCCGCCGCCGCACACCCACCCGCCGCCACCAGCGTCTTCGTCGGCGCTGCTGCCCCACACAGCAGGCGTCGGCATTGGGCGAGCTGGCGTCCTCAGGGGCGATTGCGCCCTCTGCCCCGGCGCCGTCCGCCCTCGTCCTCACCCCGGAGCAGATGACGACCGCAATCCTAGAATTAGGGCAGGCCGTGGCGGGCATCAGGGCCTTCCTCGTCGGGCCCTATGCGCCCCAGCCACAGCCCCAGCTGCCACCTCCTCCGCCGCCACACCAAAAGCAGCTACCCCCGCCGCCGCCGCCCTCGGCCGCGACCATGGCGCCGGTCATCTCGTACTAGTATGGGATGCCCTACGTAGGAACTGCGACGACATCGTTCCCAGCCGCGCCGCCGCCGTCCTAGGGTGTTCCCATCCAGCAGATCAAGTTCCCGCCATCGCTGTCACCGCTTACAGCTTGGATCGCCGGTTCGTCGAAACCCATCTACACGGCGCCCAGTACCCAGCCGCACCTACCGCCGCTACCGACCACCGGGGCTGTCATGGCGCCTGGCGGCGCCCCGGCTCCAGGCGTCCTCTACGGCGGGGTGGACGGCCCCCTGTTCCACGGCGGCAGCCTGATGCCGACGCTCTCGCGCCACACACCCTCGCGGGAAGACGGGCGGCGCGGCGCAAATTGCCGTCGCGACCGACCCGCCGCCGCCCAAGTTTTACAAGTTGGAGTTCACCGCATACGACGGCTCCGCTGATCCCTTGAATTGGCTCAACCAGTGTGAGCAATTCTTTTGGGGTCAGTGCACGCTCGCCTCCGACCGTACTTGGCTCGCCTCCTATCATCTTCGAGGGGTGGCCCAGACTTGGTACTACGCCCTCGAGCAGGACGAGGGCATGCCACCGTGGGAGCGCTTCAAGGAAATGTGTCATCTGCGCTTCGGCCCTCCGATCCGCGGGAGTCGGCTGGCTGAGCTGGGCCGGCTCCCTTTTGTTTCCACTATGCAGGAGTTTGCCCATCGCTTCCAGGTGGTGGCATGTCACGCCCGGGACGTCTCCACGCGTCAGCGGACCGAGCTCTTCGTTGGTGGCCTTCCGGATCATATCCGGGTGGACGTGGAGATGCGCGACCCCCCAGACCTCCAGACGGCCATGTACTACGCCCGGGCGTTCGAAGTCGTCAGGCGGTCGCCATGCAGCCGGCGCGGTGCCGCTCGCGCGTCGGTCGCCTCCTCCGGTGTGAGAGCATCCGGGCGCCTGTGTGGGGCAGGCCCAGCTGCACGCGCGCCAATGCCCTACGGCGCCCCCTTCTTCGACTTACACCGGCGGTGCAGCTGGAACATCGTCGCCAAGGACTATGCTACAACTGCGACGAGCCCTACGTCCCTGGACATGTGTGTCAGCAGCTCTTCTACCTAGAGTCCGGGGACTACATTGAGGAGGACGCCGCGCCTGCCGAATACGGGGACGCGACCATACCACGAGAGGACTCTTGGCGAGTTCCGCGAGCACTTCCCCGACTTCCAACTTGAGGACGAGTTGTTTGCGCAGGCGGGGAGAGATGTTATGACCGGCATCCCCTATGCCAGGCGCAGGCCCAATAGTGCCTAGGGGGCCGGTCTGTTAAGGGGTTTAGAGGCCCAATTTATCGCTTATTTGGTATTTTCTTAGAGATAGATATAGTTCCTTAATTATAGCATCTATAGGGAATGATAAATACTTGTAATCGGGGATGATTGGAATTAAGCAGAAAGCAACAATCAAGTTGCTGGCTTCCCTTGGGAGCCAGCCATCCCTCCTCTCTCCTCAAGGTGAATAAGACGATGCAAGCATCAGAGCGCCACGTGAACTCTAGGGCTACAGCAGCGAGCCGCCTCTCGCCGCCACCACGGGCCCCTCACCGACGCCGAGACTACGGACCACGTCCTCCCTCTTCCACCCCTATAACTCAAGGCAAAACGCCGCTTAGGGCATCAAGTCCTATCAATCTGGTATCAGAGATCTCTGGTTCGATCATGTCCAGCCCTCTACCGAGTTCTTCCCACCCGCCGCCGCCACACACCCACCCGCCGCCACCAGCGTCTTCGTCGGCGCTGCTGCCCCACACGGTAGGCGCGCCGACATTGGGCACGCTGGCGTCCTCAGGGGCGATTGCGCCCTCTGCCCCGGCGCCGTCCGCCCTCGTCCTCACCCCGGAGCAGATGACGATCGCAATCCTAGAATTAGGGTAGGCCGTGGCGGGCATCAGGGCCTTCCTCGTCGGGCCCTATGCGCCCCAGCCACCCCCTCCTCCGTCGCCACACCAACAGCAGCTACCCCCGCCGCCGCCGCCCTCGGCCGCGACCACGGCACCGGTCATCTCATACAAGTATGGGATGCCCTACGACGGGACTGCGACGACCTCGTTCCCAGCCGCGCCGCCGCCGTCCTAGGGCGTTCCCATCCAGCAGATCAAGTTCCCGCCGTCGCCGTCACCGCTTCCGGCTTGGATCGCCGGTTCATCGAAACCCATCTACACGGCGCCCAGTACCCAGCCGCACCTACCGTCGCTACCGACCACCGGGGCTGTCATGGCGCCTGGCGGCGCCCCGGCTCCGGGCGTCCTCTACGGCGGGGTGGACGGCCCCCTGTTCCACGGCGGCAGCCTGATGCCGACGCTCTCCGCCGCGTCGCCCTCGTGGGATAGCACGGGCGCGGCGCCCTCGGCCGTCGCACAGGACCCGCCGCCGCCCAAGTTTTACAAGTTGGAGTTCACCACATACGACGACTCTGTTGATCCCCTGAATTGGCTCAACCAGTGTGAGCAATTCTTTCGGGGTCAGCGCACGCTCACCTCCGACCGTACCTGGCTCGCCTCCTATCATCTCCGAGGGGCGGCCTAGACTTGGTACTACACCCTCGAGCAGGACGAGGGCATGCCACCGTGGGAGCGCTTCAAGGAGCTGTGTCGTCTGCGCTTCGGCCCTCCGATCCGCGGGAGTCGGCTAGCTGAGCTGGGCCGGCTGCCGTTTGTTTCCACTGTGCAGGAGTTCACCCATCGCTTCTAGGTGGTGGCATGTCACGCCCGGGACGTCTCCACGCGTCAGCGGACCGAGCTCTTCGTTGGTGGCCTTACTGATCATATCCGGGTGGACGTGGAGATGCGCGACCCCCGGACCTCCAGACGGCCATGTACTACGCCCGGGCGTTCGAGCGTCGTGCGGCTGCCATGCAGCCGGCACCGGCTCCGCGTCAGGGTCAGCCTCCTCCGGCACGAGCATCCGGGGCGGCCCAGGCGGGGCAGGCCCCCGCTACGGCCAATGCGGCCCCCGCGGCGCCCCCGTTTCGCCACCTTACACCGGCGGAGCAGCTGGAACGTCGTCGCCAAGGACTATGCTACAACTGCGACGAGCCCTACGTCCCTAGACATGTGTGTCAGCGGCTCTTCTACCTAGAGTCCGGGGACTACATTGAGGAGGACGCCGCGCCCGCCGAATACGGGGACGCGGCCATACCACCAGAGGACTCTTGACGAGTTCCGCGAGCACTTCCCTGACTTCCAACTCGAGGACGAGTTGTTTGCGCAGGCGGGGAGAGATGTTATGACCGGCATCCCCTATGCCAGGCGCAGGGCCAATAGTGGCTAGGGGGCCGGTCTGTTAAGGGGCTTAGAGGCCCAATTTATCGCTAATTTGGTATTTTCTTAGAGATAGATATAGTTCATTAATTATAGCATCTATAGGGAATGATAAATACTTGTAATCGGGGATGATTAGAATTAAGCAGAAAGCAACAATCAAGTTGCTGGCTTCCCTTGGGAGCCAGCCGTCCCAGCCCTCTCTTCCTCGCATGAACAGTACCCGCGTTACTGTAGCGCTACGTGAACTCTAGGGCTGCAGCAGCAGCAGCCGCCGCTCTCGCCGCCACGGCCCCTCGCCGACGTCGAGAGTACAGACCACGTCCTCCCCTCTTCCACCCCTATAACCTGCGCAGCAACGCCGCTAGGGCAGTCCTATCACATATCTACTTTCTCAGGTACCATATTACCTTGACGAATCCAGAGGCTGGGGAGTGAGCATGTCAGATCTGAAGAAGCAGCTGGATGATGCCCGATCAATGGGTGTCGTTGTGAGGGGACTTGTGGTTATAAATCCAGGCAACCCTACTGGACATGTATATCTACTGATCACTGACCCGTAATTTTGATTTCTATATGATAGTCCAAATGTGATTATGTTCTTCATAGGTTCTTGCGGAGGAAAATCAGCACGAAATTGTGGATTTTTGTAGGAATGAAGATCTTGTTCTTCTAGCAGATGAGGTAAAGTTTTGTTGTATCTTCCCAGTCGTAGGTTAATGAAATCTTTAATTTGTGTCATTTTAGAATATGTCCTAATGAAACCTTGTTTTCTAGGTTTACCAAGAAAATATTTATACAGATGAGAAGGAATTTCACTCTTTCAAGAAAATAACACGGTTCATGGGGTACGGCGAAGGAGACATATCTTTAGTGTCCTTCCATTCGGTTTCTAATGGTAATTGATATTGACTACTTCCTTTCTTTCCTATTCCCTAGTATTATCCTACTGGTTCTATCATTTTAAAAAAGACGTAGCATAAATTAAATTTGAAATCTCTTGTTATTTAAATTTGTTAGGAATTTTTGCCTTGAACTAGAAACCTTAGGATGACAACATAAATATTCATACTATTACATGAATACAGTTATTTGAACTTAATGATAAATAAGTGGTGTAGTTTAAGCTATTACTTCAATGTATGTAAATGAGAACCTATCCATCAAAAAAATGGGAACACAGTTTGATGAATAATCGTTTCTTGTATAATTTGTTTGTGTGTAGTAGTCTAGACTCCTGGATGGTGATGGCATATGATACACTAAAGATTTTTCATCAATCTGGAAGAATTTATTCTTTGTGGTCAGGATATTATGGTGAATGTGGGAGAAGGGGAGGCTACATGGAAGTTACTGGCTTTAATTCTGAAGTAAAGAAACAAGTGTACAAAGTTGCATCCCTAAGCTCATGCTCCAACATCTCTGGCCAGATCCTCATGAGCCTAGTCATGAACCCACCACAGGTCAGAAAATGAAACGTATCTCCTTGTCTATTGATTTGCCAGCCTTACCAACGATGACAAAGACACCTTTTTTTCAGGTTGGAGATGAGTCATACACCTCTTATCAGGCAGAAAGAGATAGCATCCTGTCATCTTTTGCTCGCTGTGCAGAGGTTGTTTTAGTATATTTTTGATTCAGTCGTGCCATCTCTGATTTTACCATTTCACAGCAACAAAAGATGCAACATTGAAATCAGAGGTATTGTGTTTGTCCACTGTTGTTTTAGGCCATGGTGTGCACATTTAACCAGCTGGAAGGGGTAACTTGTAGCAAGGCTGAAGGAGCAATGTTTGTTTTCCCTTCAGTTCGTCTGCCAAAAAAGGCAATTGCAGCTGCTGAGGAATGTAACACACAGCCAGATGCCTTCTATGCTCTCCGCCTTCTTGAAACCACAGGGATCGTTGTTGTGCCAGGTTCTGTTTTTGGACAAGTGAGTGCTTTGCGATCATGTTCAAGGCACAGTGAACTGAGTTATTTTATTGCAGTATAAATTATACAACAAAAATTTCATCACGTTTCTTTTGGTATTCTAATATGGTATTCCTCTGTTATGTTCTGAAGATGCATGGCACATGGCATTTCAGATGCACAGTCCTGCCACAGGAAGAGAAGTTACCACTAATCATCTCCCGTTTCATGGCGTTTCATGAAGTGTTCATGGAAGAATTTCGCGACTAACATTCTCCAACTTTTCTTTTTCTATTTGTATTGTAGCACAACTTAATACTGTACTTTGGAGAAAACCTGGACTTCTGTAAGTGCACGATTCCTGTATGAAACTGTTTGAGTTTTTCATTTTTGTTGTGTCTGTTACAGCCATTTTAGTCCAACACAATTAATTTTAATCTTTTTTTTTTTAAAATAGAACCAACATAAAAAGAAATTGCACGTAGTTTCCAGCATCCCACCATTCTCATAGAACGATAAAATCATATTGTTACAGATTTTCCCCTAGAACACATCGACTTTTGTTTCAGTCTACTGTAATCCCGAGGTCGAGAGAATTGATGGAAGCAAGTTGGAAGTCATTGTCACAGACCTAAACAAAAACAAACCAAAATATTTTTACCCAATAATAATGCTACGAGAGTTAGAGACGGAATTGGCCAGTTGCCACTGATTATCTAATTATCTGTCAATGTCACAGCTGACAACTGCACAACTGCACTTAATCTATGAAGCCCAACCACAATCGTTGCCACGCCTTTTATTGACCTTTAATCCATGTTTAGTACAATATCCTCCACCACCCTCACCACTAATGGCCATTTCCATGACATCAGCCCCATGATTATGATTACTTGTATGGTTCCTGCAAGGCTTCTCCAACCCCATGCATCATCCATGGCTGCCTTGACCTTGAGGTGCTACTGCTACTCATCTAGTGTAACCATCGTTCCGAGGAGGAAGACCTCGAGGACGACGATCATAAGAGCCTCCATCTCCATCGATGACTGCTCAAGTTCTGAGTCCAAGAAAAAATCCAACTCTGTCCGCTTCACCGGCAAGGTCAACAAGGTATATACCTATTTTTCGTTACATGACGTGACCTCCATCTGAAACATCTCTCTCCTTTTCTGATCTGGAACTTATCTTTCAGGTTTATGAGGACAAGAACATGGGAATCCTCTGCTACACCGATGAGAACGGTGAATTGGTGTGTGAAGGCCTAGACGAAGGCCCGAGGCTGACCTGGCAGGACATGGAGAAACTCAATATAGAGAAGTAAGCCACATTCAAAATTTAGCTTTTTTAAAAATAAAAGTCACATTCAAGATTTGATCAGTCTTGCAGCTTGTGAACGTACAGTAGAGGATGCAATAACTGACCGCATAATGCTTTTGCTGTGATGTGATTAATCAGAAAAACGAAGAACCGAGAACATCAGAGGCAGAGGACGACAGCGCCTACAGTGGGTAGGATCGACTGGAGCAGCCTCCAGGCTGCTGTTAGCATGGGGAAGAACTGAAGAAGGATCTTTGTTTCAGTACCATGGTGTGTTTTGTTTGCTTGCTTGCCTTGTAGTAGTGGTTTAATAAGGATCTTTGTGTGTAGGATAGGATTGCAGGAGAGAGAGGAGGAGCTGATCTAGCTGGTCAGTTCCCAGTCTCTCATGGATAAGAGGAAGTATACTCAGAACAGTGTGCGATTTTACTTTAGCTTCAGTTTCAGTACCATGTGACAATCAAGGAACAATGGAACACTCTTGCTCGTTCGCTTGTCATGTCGCTAGACTGCAAGAAGATTCAAGAGAGCCAATCAAGCTACTACTTTTGAGAGGGACAAAGATATCCGGCGACGACTCGCGTCGCGCGTTTGGGAACCATGCAACCCTTCTTCCTCTTTGCCGGCGCTGCCCCTGCTCGCGCACGCTCCCTCACACACCCCTCCTCCCCTCCTTGCGCTTCCATCACTCGTGGTCGGCGCCTCGGCGACTCCCGCCGCTTCACCGCGCCACTCACCTCCCGCTGTCGTCCCCTCGACACATGGCAGCCGGCGACACCCTTTTGGGAGGTGTTGTCTTGAGGATTCATCCATGATACCACTACTGGAAGATTGGGCATCCGCCACCGACTTTCTCTTTGTTTGTTTTTGGTTGTTATTCGATCTTGTTCGTTGGACATCGTTTGTGGAGGTCCATCACTACTTTTTTTTGAGACCTCTGTGTTGGTTGCTTGGTTGTTGTATAGGGAACTAAGGCCGTTGCCTGGGCCTAGGCCCCTCTCGTTGGGTAATATTGCTTGGTCGTTACTTGTGGAGTTGTGGCGGCTGCTCTCTCATCATGGACTCTCTGCTTGTTCTTGTGGTGCTGTGGTTGCTGCTGTCCCATAGTGGTCGTTTTACTTTTTCCTAGTCATTATCTCGTGAAAACGAATGACCTTTCGTTATTGTTGCTTGGTGTTCACGCGTGGTGTAGAGGCAGGTATTCTCTCATCGTTGTTTTCGTGTGGTGGTTGTTGTGGGCGCTCTTTTGCCTAGTCACCGACCTGTCCTCCATGATTTGTGGTTCATCCTTTGGCGCTTCTCATTGTAGTTGTTTGAGGGCTAGGTTTCAGGGTTGCATTTAGTTCTTTGTCAAGTGAGAGAGGAGGTTTCTGGTTGTAGGATTTCTTCTCTGGTTTGTGGGTCGCTCTTAGTAGTTGTAGCTTTCTCTTATGTTTTTTTTCTTTGGTTGTTGTAAAAGTTATTTCTCCTTGTTGAAAAACGGGATTAGCATGTTCTCCAAAAAGATGCCACAACGACAACACTAGGAAGTAGGCGGTGACATCAAGAAAGCTTGGCAAGAAGGGGAGCAATGATGAAGTCTATGACGTCATCATGGTTTGCAATGGCCATACATGAATCCATGTGCCCTACACAAGTGGAGCTCAAAGGAAGACAGTGTTTGCTTGGCACAATGAGAAAGTATTAGAGAGAAAGAGAGAGAAAAAGAAATAGAAACACGTATAACAAAAAAAAAACTCATCTTGGCGTTAAATTTTGAAAGATTTGCCAAGTAAGTCCTCAATTTAGACATCTCCCTAGGTTGAGCTGGTAAGCGAATCAGCAGATGAAGCAGGCATGACCTGTTTTCTAAAGAAAAAAAGCCGAACAAAGAAATAAGATAGCGTTTGGTTCAATTAGATGTGATTACGCCATATAATAGGTCCCGTTATCCAATGTTTATTTCCGCATTTCTGTAATCGAGTCCCCACGGTAATAAATACCATTCTATATAAAATTGATACAGCTCCAAAGCGGAGATGTAGATAGCGTTTGGTTCAGTAGATGTAACACGACTTGATTACACCAGGTAATAGGTCCCGTTATCCAATGTTTGTTTCCACATTTCTGTAATCGAGTACTGTCAGTAACCAATACTCCCTACGTACTAAAAAAAAATAAAGTCGTTTTGGACATGACCTGGGTTAAACATTAGGAATATAAATCATGAATAATTTTTAAGTTGTTGAGTTTGGAAATATGAAAACCATATGTATAGATTTGTCTTGAAAAATATTTTCACAAAAATTTACATATATCACTTTTTGATAAATATCTTTATAAAAATAAGTAGTCAAAGTTATGCTTTGGAGACCATATCGCTGTCCAAAATGACTTTATTTTTTTTAGTATTGAGGGAATCTATATAAAATTGATACAGCTCCAAACCCGATGTAATCAAACAACGTTTCGTCATTATCTCCTGCAATCTTGTCCCGTTTGCGTTTTCCTTACCATTTGGGCAACCAAACAGCTCGTAACTGCTGGGTTGAGGCCTAACCGACAAAAACCTGCTAGATATCTAAAGCCGGACGCCTGAATAATCTACTACTCCAATCAACTTTCAAAGTCGCCATCTAAACATATCCCAAATGTTTGCTATGCTGTCTCGTTAGTTGGCCGTGTAGCAGTGCTGCTTCAATGCTAAAAAAATAACTGTATCATCGTGTACCTGTTTTGACGCGAAAAGAAAACAAAACCAAAGTAACGCTAAAAAACATTTGATTGGAGTAGCAAACATTTGATTGTTCGTTAAAAAAAAGCGTGGCAGTGTAGCTGTTTTGACGCGAAAAGAAAACAAAAGCGTATATATTGGGGAAAAAAAGTATACCGTGGTCGGCAGGATTCGAACCTGCGCGGGCAAAGCCCACATGATTTCTAGTCATGCTCGACGTTCAGAGTTTGAGATTACAGTAACACATCCACAAGCACCAGAGTTGAAAGCCAAGTGATCCGTTTAGCTCGCGTGCACACATGAAGGCCCTGTGTTGGTTGAGCTTTTGGCTTTGGCTTTTGGCCTCAAAAAGCAAAAGCCTAACCAAAGAGGCTGTTTTTGGAGGATGTTTTTTCAGAAGCAGCTGTTTTTTCGTAGTTCATTTTTAAAAGCTAGGTTGACCCTGTTTTTGGCTTTTGGCTTTCTGCTTTTCGAAATTGGTGGAATAAAAAGCTCTTCCATAGTTGTTTCAAGAGAGATAAAGATAAAAGGTATATTTTATACTTGTTTAACCAAACAGCTTTCAGCTTTTCTACAGCTCACAGCCCACAGCAGCTTTTCCACAGCTCACAGCCCACAGCAGCTTTTTCCCACAGCCACAGCTCAACCAAACAGGGCCGAAGTCTCATTGAAGCTTCTGCATGGCACCACGGCGGGCGGGCGACAGGCGGTTCTTGGGCTCGAGCTTAGCCCCAGCGTCTCTCCCTCCCGTGGCAAGGGCGGCCATGGCCAGCACTGGCAACTGGCGAGGTGGCCCCCCTAGGAGCTTGCGGCCCCGACGACAGTGAGGCACAGCGGCAAAGGGCACATCAGACCCTGTAGCAAAATCAGCAGTGATTAGGATTTTGGAACCGGCCGGGATGAGCACTCTATAGTAGTGTAATAGCAGCTCTCCAAACCATGACATTTATAATGAACCAATCCAATTAATCCTTAAAAATTCAGTCTCCATCGTGGTTTGTCCACTTAAGCTCGTTTACTTTGTTCAATATATTCAAACCTTTCACTTTTACCCCCTCAAAAAAAACATTTCACTTTTCTAGAACTATAATTGCTTGCATATCTCCATAGAATTGCAAAACTTGGCTTAGATACATGGTGTTCGTGCCCTTAGTTGTGACGTTATTTTTTGGGGGTTTAATTGTGTTTAACGATTGTTTTGATTCTACACTTTTGTTGATTAAATCTTGATAGAAACATGCTCACTTTCAGAATCAACCTTTTAACGATCTCTCTCATTTTGGCAATTCCACAATTCATCTTCCACTATACAGGATCAAGGAGGCCGACTGTAGAGATGGTCTTAAAGGGCTATATTGGAAGATTGCAAATCTGAAGATTTAGATTAAAAGCTACTTCCATGAACCGTCATGTCTTGTTCAACTAAAGCGTTTAAAAGATACAATCTAAAACTTTAACTTGTTCAAATATAGCCCTTAAGTGTCAGCAACTTCTACGGCGGCGCGTTTGGTTTGCGGCATCGACTAGTCCGAGAATAATCCGAACCTACGTTGAACATCCTTCGTCATTTGGTTTAAGATACGGCATGAGCTTGCCCGTTGGGTCCGCAAACAAGCTAACAAGGGGAGCAAGTTGGCTCCGGAAAAATTCACCGGATGGACTGCACTGCATGAACCAAACCGGTAAACTAAACACATCGCTAGTCTTTATCTGAAACAAATTTGTACATGTGAAACAAAATTTCTACATGTTACTTATTTGTACTTTTCTATTCTCATTTATTATTTTTTACCTTTTGCTTAACTACCTTCATCCTAAATTTATTTTTTTCAGTCCTAGTAGAAAATCAAACAAGTTTTTTTTTGGGAGGAGAGTGTTAGAATGATCTCCCAGCCAATAAGCCCAACGGCCTATTGGGCCTTGGTCACGCGCCCTGATCGGGGCGCCCAACCCTACATGGTTGGTGGCCCCTGTCGCACTGCGCTATATAAAGTGGTGGGGGCCGGCGGCTCATAGTACGAGGTTCACCGTGAGCCACTCCGCCCCACCAACAAACCCTAAGTCCGATCTCGAAGAGGGTACGCAGCCAGCGACGGGAAGTTGCCACCATCATCACCGTCGGCCTGACTGCACCGCCACCGCGTCGCCGGACTTCACCAACTATTCTCCGACCATCGCTGCCCGTGCGCAGAATGTCACCGACCGAACGAGATGGCCGGATCCTCCTCGATGGCGCCCTCCGATGGTCTGTACACTCCCATCCACTCTCCTCTCTCTATCACTCTGTAGTACGGTTCATTAGGTTTACTACTTGTTCATCCCAAATACAAAGAACCACCCAACTAGATGCTACTCTAGGTGATCTTTGGGTATAACAATGGTATCAGACGCCTGTCTAGTTCGTAGATCTGGATCGGGGAAAGAAAAGCAAATCGAACCCTAACCCTAGATCGGGTACGGGAAAAGTGGACACGGTTTCAACAAAGAACCCTAACCCTAGCAGTTCCTCAGCCTAGGGTGTAGATCTAGGG